ACTGGGAGTATCTTCAAATAACAGATCAGTAAAGCTAATGAAGGTTGGAGGTTCAAAGCTGTACTCCCACCACTGTAGCCCTCAGTAAAACACTTGACCCCAGGTTGCTCCGAGCCAATTGTCCTAAGCGTACTGTATAGTTTGCAGTCTTTTTTAAATGACAAAATGTACTATAATTTAACAAAATATTTGCAATTTCTTTGTTGCTGGCTTTTTGATTTCCATCAGAATAGACAGCACCATTTGAATGGCAAAAAAACTATATTATAATAAATGTCATCACATTATAGATGATTTGCTATCACTGTAAAAAAATATTTTCAAGATTTGTTATAACAACATATTTTCTTTTGTCAAATCAACTTTATAATAATTTATTTAGTTGAGATAACTTAATATTTTGAGTTTCTGATGATTAAATCAATCTCCTTCATTGTATTAACTCACTTTTTCCAGTTCAATCAACTTAAAATTTTAAGGCAACCAGGTTACTTACTTTTTTTAAGTTAAACCAATAATACTTTTTTTACAGTCTTAATCACTACATTTTTTCATTTGTCAAATCAACTTAAATAATTTATTTAGTTCAGATAACATATCATTTTGAGTTTCTGGTGATTAAATAATTCTCCTTCATTGTATTAACTCACTTTTTCCAGTTCAATGAACTTAAAATTTTAAGTCAACCACTTACTTTTTTAAGTTAAACCAACAATATTTTCTTACAGTGTATATGTTGCTGTCATGATCCCAGTGTTTTAAGTTGAAATGTTCTTTAACATTGTTTCTGTGTTCACTTCCTGGATTCAGTTACTGTTTCCCTTGTTTTGCCTGCCTTTTTTGTTACCATAGTAGCCACCATCGTTAATTTCTGTGACAACTTATCACCTGTCCCTAGTCAGTCACCTTAAGCTTGTCTGCCCCTGCGTGTTGTGTTTCACTTGTTCCCTTTTAGTTGTTGGATGCATGTTCTCTGGTTTATCGCGTGTCCTCCCGTTAAGCGTTTTCATTGTTTACAACAGTTACCTTGTGTTATATGACCTTGTGCATCATTTTAATAAACCTAAACCTGCACGTGGGTCTGCCTTCTAGCCTCCTCTTTTGCCCACCTGAATGTCTCATCCATAACAGTTGCTGGCATTTTTTTTTCTAATTTTTTTCTAAATTTTACTTTTGCATTTTGAATGGGCAATAATACAGAAAAAAAATGTTTTTTTTTTTTTTTCCTTATCCACCAGCAAGGATTTAAGCAGGGTTTTTTTTTTTTTTTTTTAGGCTACATAAAAAAAAAATAAAAAAATAAAATAAATAGTTTTTTAGACTTGTCTTCTTTGGAACAAAAAAGAATTGCAGCAATGTTTCTATGTTCCACAAAAGAAAGAACCCCATACTGGTTTGGAACAACATGTAAATTGCGACAGAATTAAAAATTTAGGTGAACTGTCCCTTTAAGAGCATTGTTGTAGAATGCCTGCAATGACAATTAATTCACTTTTTAACAATAGTCATGTAGGTAAACACTTAATTCAGATGTACAGTTTCTTGTTAATTTTATAAATGCCTACAATGCAGGCCATTATGGTTATTATAAAGTAAGATGGTAACCACAACAAGAGTGTCAGAGAGGGTAATGAGTTTAACAGAGGCATATACATGGCTAAAAGACAACGTATTTCTTTCATTTGCTATCTTTTCCTCTGTTACTGCAAAGTGAAGTCACCATAACCTAAGTGCCGTGTCATTTTATGGTCCTATGTCACAGCTCATAAAAAGAAAACTAACTCACTTACATGACAGTATAGCCTTTTAATGACTTAGCAAACGTTTTCATCAGATGGACACATCTTGTGATCTCAGGTTGTGAGTTGAGTGATGAAAAACCCTCTATGCTGCTCGTTTTGACAGTTTTCAAAAGAAGTAAAGACATGAATTAACAGAACCTGAAAATGTTACAAAAAGACAGACTCCACCCATACTTGCTCTGTCATTAAAATAAATTTCAGTAGCATTTTGAGTCACTCGCCTCCTTAGTGGGTTGTAAACACAAACATAGTTTGCAAAAATGAATGTTTGCTTGAGACTTCACTGCAGGAGGTGCAATGACACATTTAGAAAGAACTGTTGTCAGAGGAAAGTGTCCATGGAGTTAGCACACGCTTAAAGGGATAGCTCACCCAAAAATGTAAAGTTCATCTATATTTATTCATCCTCATGCCATCCCTAACCCATGCAATGTTATTCTTTGTTATCTGTGGAACACAGAAGGAAAAATTCCAGGTGTTCTTCACTAATCTTGTCTTCCAGAGAGAATCTGAACTCAAGAATCATTTCAATAACGTTGAATTCTTTGACATTTGCATTTGTTCATTTAGCAGATGCTTTTATCCGTGACTGACTAATCTCAAAGAGCCAAAAAATATCCATATATGGTTTACAATAATGTTTTTGGAATGATTCTTTTCAGTGAATCAGTTCACCCACCTTCAGTTCAACTTAATTAAATTCAGTTAAACAAATTCAATTCAGTTAGTTAATTACATTTTAGTTTGTTCATAACACAAAGCTATCAAGCTATTACATACTGCCGTTCAAAAGACTTTTTTGAAAGAAGTTAATACTTTTATTCTGCAAGGATGCATTCATGCATTGGTGAAAGTAAAGACTTACATTGTTACAAATGTCAAATACAATTTCCAATAAATGGTGTTGCTTTTTAACTTTATAATCATCAAATAATCCTCAAAAAAATAAATATTGACAAGCACAAACTGTTTTCAACATTGATAATGTCAATACAAGTTTTGAGCAGAAAATCAGCACATTAATGATTTCTGTAGGATCATGTGACACTAAAGACTGGAGTAATGATGCTGAAAATTCAGCTTTGACAACACAAAATTAAATTATATTTTAATATATATTAAAACCAAAAACTTGACCACAAAATTTTGACCATTTTTATTGTATTTTTTGATAAACGCAGCATGAGCATGAGACACTTCTTTTAAAAAAATCTTTCTGACCCTAAACTTTGAATGGTGTTCACATATGTCCTTGTAAAAAACATTTCACCTTTTGTGTGATACATAAAAATAACATACTGTTTGAAAGTCACATAAAAGTGACTAAATGATCACACAATCTTCATTTTAGGTGAACTATCCTTACAACACTGTTGATCACATCAGAATTAAAGGAAGAGGAAAAATACTGTCTGAGTGTCTGAGTGTATAGGTTGTAATCAAACACGTGCTGCAGAAAGCTGATAATGTGATCTTTCTTTCAGATGTCATGCCATCTCTAAACATCATGTCTTCATATCAGCAATGCAGTATTTTACCAAGTCGAAGAAGTTGGTATTTCAGGAGCAGAACATGTTAAAACAATGCTTGTCAACTGCAATTATTGTTCAAAACTATTTAGTATAGCCTAGGCTATTTTAAGGTACCACTTTGGAAAATTATACTTGATTGAGACTAATTCAGATAATTGGAGATGTTGAAACAAACTTCATGTTCAGGGAACACTTAATGATACACTACTGTATGTGGCATGAATCTTCCATCATGTGTGCAAAAGGGATCTTCCATTAAGCACGAATAAGCCCATGGAATCATATGGGCAGAACCGTGCAGTATATGTTATTATGTAAAGATTTAGGAGCTGTTGCCTGCCGCACATAGCTGATCATGATCATACCTCAAGACCACTCTTGTGTTGTGGAGGGTATGATTAATTGGGTGTGCACGTTTCCCATGCGCCCAAAAATAAAATCCAGTAGCAGCCTCGGAACATGAGGGAGAGATGTGTGAGAAAATCTAATTTAAGGAAATAAAACATTGATGAAAGGACCATAAAGGCAAGAAATGCCTAGTGATGAAGATGCTGACACATCCGAAAACGTTCAAAAAGACATGCACTGAAAGAGTTCTGTACAAAATGCGCGCCCCCTTCTGGACGCTTTGTTAAATTGAATTCTCATCGTCACCCCCTCACAAGAGGGTAAAAAAGTCAAAGTCAGATGTATTTTCCAGAACGTCTTTTTATATATTCTTTATTAGCTGTTTCTGGGTGAAGCACTTACAAAAATACACATGTAAAGAACCATAAACTTGTTTGGCCTGAAATAGTCGATTTTATGAAAGCCTCGCACACTCCCGAACAGACTCGCTGAACAAACAAGAGTCAAAGTGGCTCCTGTATGAGCATTTCTCAAGGAAAAGACTTAAATGTGTTCAGACACATTTGGATCCTTCATGTTTGTTGTTATGGACAGCGGGCGGGTTTCAGTTCCCACACCAACCTGCTGAATTTCTCTACCCCCATATGTTTTTGTATTATGTTTTTCTGGAAGAAAAAAAGTGAGGAATTGGTACCAGCCAGACAAGGCTAAACTTTTCAAACAAAGCAATTTTCAATAGCATTCATATTTATTTAATTATTACAGACACTTTTTATCTGTTTGATATTTGCAAGTGTCTATAACCGTAAATTTTTAAATAGGATATATATGTATAATACAGACTACTATAATATAATATAATATAATATAATATAATATAATATAGGTATAATATAATATAATATTCCAACAAATTACACAAAACACACTTGCAATGCTAAAAGAAAAACTCCACACTGTTAGAACGTCACTCACTTGTCAATAATTGTTTACATCATGTTTCTAAAGATAACAGCATTACATATAGGGAAGTACACATCATACAGACCATTCATACCCTAAATTTGACATTTTCAACCCAAATTTAGGACTAAAATGCATCTTTTGCAGCTTTGAGGGGAGCTTAACAAGATCTAATCATGGGTCTAAACACTCAAAGCAAAAGCCATCCTGAAGTGACATGCCAACAGTGGGCAAATCTGCTTGGTAATTACAGCCTTGCGATGAGAGGGGAGGTACTAGTGTGGTAGGTGCTTTTTTAATGATGCAAAGGCCAGATATGGTATAAAAACCCTCATCATTGTGCAAGGCAGCAGCAGATCCTGTCTGGCTCTTACCACAAGGATATTCAGAAGTGGGAGCCGCGACTGTGTTCAACTTTTATTTATTTGGAACCCAAGTATGCCAGTAGGTGTCCATTTTATTTCTTCTCCTTTGTTTTTTAGGCCTTAATTGATACTGAGGGACATCTATCAGCAGGTGCAAATGGGAGGGTGTTCTTATACTCTACTTTGAGTTATGGGTTAAACAAAGTTATTAATAATGGAATGGAAGTTGAAATAATAGTTTACTATTGACAGCTGTTGCTTATTTTAAAAATGTCCTAATGAACTAATTGTTCCATTTGAATGTTCCAGTTTTCTTTACATCATCACGTCTAACTCTTTCAATTCTGTTGTAGATTTGACCTCAGAGAATGGAACTACGAGTAGCAAGCATTCTTCTTCTCCTGGTGGCTTTGACGGCTGCCCATGGTGAGAGATATGTTGTCAAGAAGGTGATGAAGGCCCCCCAGTACCAGCCTTACTCAGTGAAAAGCCAAGGTATGTGTTTAAAATTGAAAAAATTCTTTTCTTTGCTTTCTGCATTGTACTGAAGATGTTTCCATATAAGAAGTTTGATCTAAAGACGTAATTAGATGAACACATTCAGTTTAAGTGTAGGCAATACAAAACAAGTACACATTAAAAAGTTCCATGGGCAGTTGAGCACACTGATTGGGTACTGATACACAGTGCTTCCACCAATAGTATAATGCAACTTGTCTAAGCCTTTGAATATTCAAATTGCAGATTCATGTCATGCCTCTACAGATGCAACATACTATAAAGTCTGTTCTACTATATCTGATTACAAATCGGAAATCATTTCTTTTAGTTTTGGTGGTAAAAATGCTTTATACATCCAACGGATCCTTTAGTACTTTCTCCACACATCCTTCAACAAAAGTTGAAAGATGTACGAAATATTCAGTATGTTGAATCAAATAATGTTAATGCTTAACTGTATTGTTTGATAAAATATTCAAAAATTCAAATATAATCATTTAATTGTTGATTTTACAACAAAATACTGCACAGATTTATACAATTTGTTTGATCAGAAGTGATCGTTTTAGATTTCAAAGGACATGCATGTTAAAATCAACAAACTTTTAACAGCTTTTTAGATTTAGTCTCTAGAGACATGCTGAAAAGTGATTTGACTGGGTGTGTCAAGGCAAAATCTAGACACATCTGTTTCATTAAAGCTGTGCCTCCAAGAATGACCTTTGGTATGATGTAGTTTACAAACCAACAGATTTGACCACATGAAGGCAATTATAAAACTGAGTCCTAGCCATATATATTATATATATATATATATATTACATATGAAGAGTTCAGATGCAAAAGCCTCTAAATGCCATTTGAAATTTTCTTCTTTAATGATGATTTTTATCAAACTTGTATATTTAAGTGAAATTACTGAACTTAAATATACAAGTTTGATAAAAATCATCATTAAAGAAGAAAATTTCAAATGGCATTTAGAGGCTTTTGCATCTGAACTCTTCATATACATTCTTTTTGTGCATTTTATAATTACACTGGAGATATTATATTTATTTCTTCCATCACTGAGTCTCTCTCTCTCTCTCTCTCTCTCTCTCTCTCTCTCTCTCTCTCTCTCTATATATATATATATATATATATATGTATGTATGTATGTATGTATGTAACAAAGAACAGAGATTAGATTCTCAAGTGGAATTATAAAATGCACAAAAAATATGTATTTTAATTCAATCCTGAAAAATTTAAATATCCTTGGAGGCCTTTGTCAAGTCAAGTTATTTATTAACAATACAGAAAAACTGTAATTGCAGGAATGAAAAGTTTTTGAAGGCTTCAGAGAAAAGAATAAAATAGAATCACAGTTATAACATTTGTAAGTTAAAACCAAAACATTTGAGGCAAGCACATTTTCACAAAAATTACAAAAAGATAAGAAAGAAGTATTTCACTTGACACAAATGCATGTATATTCATCATAATCAAGGTTTGAAGTTTAAAATGTATTATTTATGATGCCTGAATATTGTGTTTTGATAAAAGGGACTTGAATAAAACAGTCTTATATCAACATTCTCGAAGATACTGACTTCCTGCTGTTTTATAAGACATCTCTATTGGAAAGTCTAACCTGTAGTTATATATGTATATGAACTGTTGTTCAATAAAACAATTTCTTACAATGTAGAAAGGGGTAAATAGGCACCATTGATTCATTTTAGTCACACATTTTTGTAGTCTGTTTCATTTGTATCTGATATGGTCCTCTCTAGCATTGTGTTTTCTCAATTTTTGTTTATATTGGTATATTGTAGTTATATTTTGTAGAATATTATACTTATTTATATAAACAGTCAATATAATTTTTAACATACACTATAGAATTACATGGACAAACATTTCCAAAATAGCAATTCTGCCTATGACTGATTGTTGAACGAAAACAGTTATTGCCACTGCGGATTATGAGTATTGCCACTAAACATCTTGTTTTATTTCAGTGGTATCAGTAGCAGGAGAACCAGGCATCCCCGGTGAGCCCGGTCAACCTGGACCTCCTGGGCCCCCTGGACCCGCAGGAGAAGATGGTGAAGGACTGCCAGGGCCACAGGGACCTCCTGGACCACCTGGTCCTGCTGGTTACTCAGCACCTGGAAAACCTGGTTCTCCCGGTGGACCCGGCAAACCCGGAGCCACAGGTGCACCCGGACTTAAAGGAGACAGTGGTGCCCCTGGTCCTCAAGGCCCCAGAGGCATGCCTGGTCCTGTTGGTAGCCCTGGACCTGCAGGCATTTCTGCAACAGGCAAACCTGGACAATCAGGTCTTCCAGGAGCAATGGGACCACGTGGAGAGACGGGTCTTAAAGGACATCCAGGTATTCCTGGTCTGCCAGGACAAAAAGGAGAAAGAGGCATTGGGGTTCAGGGGCCACCAGGTGAGAGAGGTCCAGCAGGAGCAGTGGGTCCTTCAGGGAAGCCTGGTGAGCCTGGTGTTGGAAGACCTGGCAAACCTGGAAATCCTGGCGAACCAGGTAAATCAGGCTCACCTGGCCGTGACGGAGAACCTGGACCCATGGGTGCAACAGGTCCAAAAGGTCAAACGGGTGCTCCTGGAATTGGAATGCCTGGCAAGCCAGGTGAAAATGGTGCCCCAGGAATTCCTGGATTTACTGGCCCCAAGGGTCCACAAGGCGCAGCTGGTGCCCCTGGTGCTCCTGGTGTTCCAGGTTATGGTAAACCAGGTGAGCCTGGTGTAAAAGGTGAGAGAGGAGTAGCTGGTAGCCCAGGTACAACAGGCCAGAAAGGTGAGCCAGGTGCTAAAGGGCACACTGGATATCCAGGTGCTACTGGTCCTGTGGGTCCAGCTGGTGCTCAAGGTTCAAGAGGTTTCCCGGGCGAGAGGGGGGCACAAGGTGATAAGGGTGATCAAGG